AAGAGGCAGTCAGAGGTAGGGCAAGAAAAACTAAATAAAGCTTCTTCCCATTTGCAAGATCCTTATAAAATAATTATGACTGCCAAGTCTGAAAGATGCCCTTTCAAACGAGTGTTTCACACAAGTGGACAGTCTGGCCAGATCATCCAAGTCTTGGGTTTCTGATTCATCAGCACAGTTGAAAACTAAATTGATGCACTTTTTGAGTAAAAAATACGTAAGGGCTTGATAATCAAAAGGCAATCCGGATTTTAATAACCAGCTCTATATTTTCAGAGATAACACATGTACCTGGAGAGAGAGACCTATTCAGAGAGGTTGTAGTTAATAATGCAGTATTTTTTACGGCTAAAATTCCCAGTTCTACTCTTGTTACAGGTGTTTTCAGGAGTATTCATGTGAAAAACAAAACTGATTTCTTCAAAAACCTTCTCTGCAAGGTAGCAGTTGCTTTGAGCTTTAGCTTTACCTAATTAAATGCTGAATGTTGACCATCTGTCATTGTAATCTGTGAGTTCGCAGGAAAATACATACAAACCACGGATGCAATGTTAAAACGATTCTTTGTTAAAGCCATATCGTAACCTGGGTAGCGGGAGTGAGGAGGTTTGAAACTGTACCACGAGTAGCATGAGGAGGTAGAGGGCAACATATACAGCCTTTCTGGACATAGAGGGAGGCTCTACATTGTTACTGCTGGCAAGAAATGTTCTGGCCCGGACACCTAGGGTGTGCCCTGAGAAACCATCTGCACCAGGCACAGGCTAGCACGCGTTATTTCCCCCAGCACAAAAAGGGTAGCTAGATCTGAGACAGAACCTGGTTCCAAGTCTGCTGCTATGCCAGAGTAACTAGGCATCGTCCTTTGCTCACAGCTTCTTCCAAAGACATAATCAAGTTCTTAGTTGAAAAAGAAGCAGAATAAAAAAAGTAATTATGTCTTGAGGTCAAGTCTTACAACGAAAATCAAACAGAGATCAAACATCCCTGTGAGTGTCGGTGGAGTTTGGTTTTGAAATTCATGGCTGGGGCCCATCATTGATACAAACTTTCCATTGCAATTCTTATAAAGTAGAACATTTCAACATGATTTTTGTTCAATGGCTTTCAAAGGGAACACTGCACTTTACACAAGAGGAAGCCTTACCCTTAACCTTCTCTCAAACGTAGAGATATTGCCTTTGGTCTGCTCCCTTCTTTGCCTCCATTCAATGAGATTTGAGTTATGCTCTCCAGGAAGGGAGATGTTGCACTTCCCTAAAGTGGGGCTGACGACTCCTGCTAGAATATGAGGCTCTGTGTTAAGAGTGATTTCCATTCCACTGGCAAAGGTGACTCTCAGAGACCCATCTGGGCTGACCCGGTAGATATTCTGCGTGTTATCTGTCAAAAAACAACAACCAAAACCAGGAAACACAGGAAAGTTCAGATCTCCAGCTTTATGAAGCAAATGTTAGATGCAAAAGGGAAATTTTGTTTGCCCCTAGTTTACAGACAGCTGTAAACATACCAACTGCAGTTATGATTTTTGCAAACTGTAACCTGCAGGTCTTCACATGTGTAAAGAACTTCTTTATTAGGTTTGGCCTGATCAACTCCACTGTGAAGGCTTTCAGCCTAAAAATATGTAAATTCATAAGCTAGGTTTTGACCACTGATATTCCGATGATTGTAGCATGTTGGGACATGCTAACAGAATACTGCACTGTTTAAAAAGGATGAGTGCACCGAGTATCTAAGGTGAGGCCTGAAAGCTATTTTCACAAAAGCCTAGGATGACAGCCAGTCTCCCATTCTGACCCTTTTGCTCAGTCTCACTGTACTAAAAAGGTCTCCTCTTTCCCATTAGTAGAAGGACTCAGAGGCACAGGCACAGCGATGCCCATCCATGAGCCTGAGGCCTGATGCAAGAAGGACACTGGGGAACCAGTGCTGGAATTAAAACGGCCAGGTCAACAGTGGTAGCACAGTGAGCAACTCCAGAGGTGCAGGACTGTGCTGCAGAGGGCTGACATCTCCTCTCCCTTGCTTGTGCACACTAATTCCTTCCCTGTGTTTGGGAGAGGCTAAGGATATGCCTGGGGAAGTCACTGTGGCTCCACTGACAGATGATGACTTGATCCTGATACTGTACATTTAGTGCCAAGAACAAAGCAAAAACTCTCACCTTTGAAATACAACTGAATACACAGCACCTTACCAGCTAGTGACTATGAAAAGGATCCTTCCTTTAGCTGATCCACATAGAAGCAATTGGTGCAGCTCTTGGGACATGAATACGTGGAAAATATTTGGCCATGTCAGAAAGTGAAGGTAATAGACACCGCATTAAAAGAGACTTTGTGACTCAGATGCAAGATGTCAGATTGCGTGTTTGCAGGATGCTTCATGATAGTTTCACAGAGATATAGAAATATGCAAATTATGTGAATTTATAAACATATTAGCCACAATTATGGCTGTTTATCGCTGGTACTGCCTGTAGTGTGCTACGCACTTTCCTGAGACAGAATTGGGTAACGTCCCATCCTTGAGAAGCTTAATATTTAAGGACAAACATAATCATGCAGTGGGTAGCTGGAGCAGACAGCAGATGTGATCACTCAAAGACTAACAGGTGATACAATGCTATAATATAGCATAATTTTTTCCACTTACTCAGTGTCTTCTCTCTAATGCGTCAGTGAAGAGCAATGAATGAATGCCTTGTGAGGTGAGTTCTTCCTTTTTTTTGTATAGATTAAAAGCTGAGAGGTAGAAAAGTTCTGTGACTTGCTCAGGGTTACAAAGCTTTTCTAGAGCAGATCTAGAAGTAAAGCAGACCTATTTCCCACCACCAGTTCTCTCAAAGCTTCTCCCCTTCCTCCCGAGAGTCCACTGCCAACAGTGGATCAGCAAAGAGAAAAAAAAACAAAAACCAAATTGATTAAACTGTATAAAAATAGAACTATGATAATGAACCTGCAAAGTCTGAAGGAGGACACTGGGGAACTTCCATCAGGCAAAGAGTAAGCACTTCTCAAGCGATATGATTCACCAATGGACTGAAGCTGTCAGGGAAATACTACGATGTCCGCAGCGGCCTAGTCAAAACCTCACCCGAGAGGCAGGCACTAGGTGACGTGGGTCATGCCTTTGCCCTTCCTGCAAGTGCTGCCACTAGGATGCAGTACTGCTAGAAGGAATCACAGGGACAGCTAAGCAAGGCACTGGTAGCGTTAAAATGTCAGTGGAGCATGTCACTCTTTGGGCAGTATTTCTCAGAGTAACAAAGCTCAGTTTATTATAGGTCATTCCAACTCCTCTGAATAAGTTGCAGCACATAAAGCCCGGAGACACTGGAGATTTCAATAAATGGAACCTATCCACGGGACTGAGCACTTCCTAGAAGGAAAAGAATTCACTGGTGGTTGGTTTCCAATAGCTACCTCAGGAGAATTATAAGTAGTATCTAGCTATTTGTACTGAAGCAAGCAAGAAACAAATGAACCAGCTTTAGTCTTTTTTTGGCAAATGGTTAAGAACACAATAATGTCTAGAGCTTGAAATGTAGCAATTAGGGAAGAAGTACGAGAAATGCCTTATTTACCTTGTTTTAAAGTATATATTGTAGAGGTAGCTGAGAAGTTTGTGGCTGTGATCACATTTTCTCTGTTTGAAGTATCAAGTTCTACTCGTGTCAGTTTTTCAACATCACTGTGGAAACTACTAACTTCACCAGTTGGGAATGTTGCGTTGGTCAGATGGCCATCAGAGTCGTACCTGAAAGAGATGATGTTAAAGAGCCATGAGCATACATCACTATTGTTTTGTAGATACTCCTAAGAGAATAAAAGAAGACCAGAGAATAGAAGAAGTTTCACCACTTGTGCACGCAGTGGTGAGGGTTTAAACCTGCTGTAATGTGATACAAGACGGTGGCCACTGGAGGTCACTCAGCATTCAGGCAACCCAGCCACCTTGGAAAAGGCCTCTTCCTACACGTTCGTTAAAATAAATCCAGTTCTAAGATACTGCAACAGTCAATAACTGCCTTTTGTTGCTGATGTTTGAAGTACATAGTAGGAGTGCTAAATTTAAAGAGGATTAAAACTGTAACAGTAGTGATTAAATTGGATTGAAATCTGTAGCAATTCAGTTGTCTAAATGGTATATACCCACGTGTTAATTCCCTGCTCAAATCAGCAAGAACTTCTCCTTAGAAGTAACAGCAACAGAATCCAAACCTCCACATTTTAGTTAACCTACATTTCACCAGTGCTATAGGAATTCTTTTTGTTTGAGGTACTTCATATGAATCAGGTCGTGTTACAAAAAGGGGAATAATTAATGCAAGAGATTTGGAGCAGTGTCTCCAATGGGTCTTTTCATGTTTGTTCTTTCCGATGGTTCACATGAAAAACAATGCAGAGTAATGCTCGCTGCTTGATATTGTTACATATTCATGTCTCTAATCTTAAAACCTTACTGATGCTAACACATTTTATTCAAACAAGAGACCTCACTGATACTGCCGATCCATTTGCATGACTAAAAACAACTCATGTTCATAAAGCAGAAGCCTATTTGTGCAGGTAGGAAAACATAATTAAGCTTTAATGTTTTATTAACTGTCTCCCCTCATTCACAAAACACATCCTCAGCTGGTGTATCAACTGGCCCAGCTCCATTGCCTCCAGTGGACTCCCCTGGAGTCCTTCCAATTCATACCAACAGGTGATCTGGACCTGTCCTTCACTTCAATGTGTTGGCATCATTTCTTTAGGACCCTCATCTCCCCCTAGTTTATCAGACAAAATCTGTATGTCACAAAAGGCATTTGGGAACAAAATTCGGAATCCCCCTCTCCTCAATATAAAAAAGAGAAACAGAGCAGCTGTTCTTTTCCACATGAAACACTGGAGAAAGAACTAGAGAACATCTTGCATTTTTTGACAAATGAATTCATCAAATGTTAAATATAATATAATCTCTCTCTCCTTCACTTCCTACTGCACTCATATACATCATGCAACTTCTTTACATTCCATCCTTATGCTGGTTCTGTGTAAACCGACTGGCTTCCACGCCCAGCCAGGAAAACTGATTCAGATCACTGCTTTTCATCATTAAAAAATACCATGAGCACTGGTCAGGTGTATTTCATTTACTGCTTGATGAAACAGATATGAGAGCTTGCTGGTCTATTTGGACTTTCTACTTTACCATAGAAAAATCCCCAAATCATGAATTTTTATGGCGTAAGTGCAGCTAGTTTACTGCAATGTACTTGCCCATAAGACTCAGGATCCATCTCTGCTAAGGATCCAGTTCTGCTGCTGATAGCGCTAATGATGAGACACAAAACTTCGTGTGTAGCTGAAAAATGGCAGAAATAGTTACTGGATGGCAGGACAGACAGGTACTGAGTAACTATAACGAGACTGTAGGACACATGTCAGTGGACTCTTACTTGTGTACCTGCTCCCATGGACTTCAATGAGAACACACAGATCGGTGTCTCAGTAATGAATCCACAGCACGACCGTCTAAAGGGTTTTTTATTCCAGATTACTCCAAGAAACCCAACCTTTTGAGGATAGATTCTGCCACCTTTCACATGATGAACAGTCGCATACTCGGAATCAGTTCCTGCAGAGCCATGTTCTATCCATACTAAGAGGGGTAGAATCACAACAAATTTCTTAATGTTAATTTGGGGCCCAGCTATGTCACTGTTAATCACGTCAGTGACCATTTAATCATGCAAATAACTGCATTGATTTCAGTACTCACATGAGGAAGTACTCACCAATATCTAAAAATGCACACTTGGGGATATATCTTCACAATCTATTTGCATTTCTATGTGTAGCATACAGTTAAGAGTTATACCATTTCAAAGGGAAAGCAGTCTAATTAATTTTTTCAGAGACAGTTGTTTCTTGCAGGTGTTTTTTTGTCCTTGATTTAACAGACACCCAGTGCCCCTCTCCCCTTTTATGGCTTTAATGATCCAATATTAAAAAAATCTAGATGACTGAAAATTGTACATTAGCTGTAATTTTATGCAAGAGCTCTTTCAGTACTTTCATTCCATCAGATTAGAGCAGATGGATGACAAGTACTTTTGTAGGTGGTTTTCTACCTCTTAATAATTTCCCTCGGTGAGTGAATCTGACATACAGGTAGATGTTCTGAACAGTTCATTATCTTTGCTCATATTCCCAAGTACGTGTGATATGTGTTGTTAAACAAACTCATCCCTGTTTCAGCTTGACAGTGCCACGGGTTGAACTTTTAGATGGGAATGTAAATCTAGCTTAAAAAGAAAAGATGATTCCAAGCAATTTGAAAGTTGCTCATACGGTAATTCTCTAAGCTCCAATACTGTGTTTACATAGGACTCAGAAGCAATTCGAATATTAAAGTATCCCCTTCAAAAAATCTGATTTTCAAACAGAAATCAGATTTCAGCTCAGAATGTGACCTGTCTGGAAAATAATGTCTGGTTAAAGCATGACTAAGGACCACCACATCCTGTAACCTACTCATGGCAAAAGGTGAGAACCAGCTCCTGAAACCACCCCTACTCAGCACAGCACTAGTTATAGTGAATTGTCCCTCCGACTGCAGCAGCATGTATGACATTTCATATCTCAATCTTTCAGGAAGCTGTAATATATCAGAAAGATGACTTAAAATTTTGGACCAAACAATAAATATTTATGACATAATTTCAGTATTTGATTTTGCTGTTGTCTTTGTTATGATAGTAACAGTAGTTCTGTTAAAAGCTACTGACTGACCCAGAATAAAAGAACAGAATGAAATGGGGATACCCATGGAGAAACCCAGCTGGGGAGACCCCAACTTCTCTTATCACTGCAGTGAACCCATTTTCTGTGAAGACAACAGCTCAAGAAGGAGCTGACAAGGAAAATCATAACATCAAACAGGCATTTGGCAGAAGTGCACAGATGTGCACAGATGGGTGAGATCTGTGCAGCTCAAAGCATCACTGAGGACAGTGCATCACATAGCCTGCAGTTAAGCTACTGAAAGTGTGACAAATGTTTAATTTAGCAAAATTTCCTCGTGTTAGGCATAAACACTGTACTATTTTGGAATTTGTTTTCGTCTTGAAGCAACTTATTCTCAGAAAATGAAACATCCTTCCAAGGCTCCATGTGAAGAAATTTGTGTTAGGTACAATGGGAGGCACTTGTCCCAAAGGTGACATCCTTTAATAAAAAGATCTTACTGTACTTGAGTTCTACTTGAACAAACAACTTGGCAGAGGACAACAGGCCTAAGCAATAACTGCATGAAATGGTTTAAACTGAATGTCAACAGGACAGAGTAAGAATACCAAGATTAAACCCACTGGGAAGCACACTACTACTCTAACATTCCCATCTTCTCAAATGACAGTCAAGACCCTGCAACACATGATGCTCAGTACTTTAAGAAGTAATAGGCATGACTTACAGCTATTGTGAGCGCTTTTTGAAAGTGTCATTGATTCCCGATCTGGATTGAGCCCATCCTCATGTAGTGATTTAAAAGGGTCACTCTTAGTGTTGAAGTTATCACAAATAAGCACATATTTGAATTCAGTTATGCACGTAATAGGAGACAGTCTTAGGTCAGTGTTAAAATAGCACCAAGACAAGAGTGAGCTATGTTTTGTTGCATGATAATTTAAATTTCTATCACTAAATGCCTGATAAAATGAGAACTGAAGCAGGAAGGCCCTGTATGGTTTTGTTTTCCAGCAGACTGTCAAAAACGGTCCTCTCTAACTGTGTATACTTACATTAACCCTATTAATTTACAGTGTCTTTGGCAGAATAACGGAGGGCAGGATGAGAAAAACATCCCCTTGAATAACACATCCCACGCAGTAGTCTGCTCTGCTTTTATCCTTCTTGCATTGTAATAAAATATTATTCTAAAAACCTCTAATGATGGTGACTCAACTACCCCTCTAAGGGATTTATACAGTGACTTAATTCTCCTCAGTGTGTTTTTTCTGTTCATATCTCACCTGGATGGCTTTTCATTTTAGTTTTTGACTATGAACCGCTGTACCCTACAAAAAGCAGGCATTATTATCCTCTTGGAAGAGCTCTGAACTAATAGTGAAATGTTAACATAAAATTTCCACCATCACCTGTCACATCCCCAAGCAGAGATTAAGACAATTTATTATAAATAATGAGAAGGCCTGATATATCCCACCTCTCAATAAACTGAATGTGAACTTTTTCTCGGGTTCTTTTCTCTCTGGGATTATACTAGGATGCTCTGATTGTTCAACAGCTCCTCTAAGGCAAACGTATTCAACTGTCTTCGCTTGCCTTTTGGAAGTCCCGTCAGGGTTCTCGAGTACTCCCAATCCCCTTATTATCTATCTCTTTGTCACTATAAATCCTCTTCCCCTACTGTTAGAGACAAGTCCACCCTTGCCTTTGAACGTTCCTTCCTTTCAGATTCTCACTTTCCTTTGTGACACTCCCTTCTTCTATGAATTTTTTTTTTTTTTTTTACCAACTTCAAGAATTTTGCAAATTCCTGCTTCATATTACAGCTTGCCTCCTTTTCTTCAGTTACAAAGAACTTCCATAATCATATTTTCATTTAGAGAAAGAGAGCTTCACAAATAATAAAGTGTAAATGAAGCATAATTTCAGGAAGCTTTTGCTACACTCAATGGGCGCCACTTACAGAGCTTTTACATGTGACAGGCTTTGGCCCTTAAGAAATGGTACTTCTGCATTGTATAAGCTTATACAACAGCATTGCTTGTGCACTATCATGCGGCATTAGTAGCGAGTACTCTTTTTAAATTGCTAGAACTGACTAAAAAAATTTCGGTGTTCTTTTCAAATAGTGTTCTTTACATCATGCATTTAACGATGTGGACTTACTCATACACAGTTGTCCATCCATTTTCATCGCTTTTGGTTGCTAAAAGTCCTGTGTTTCCAGGATATGTCATCAACGCCAGGTTGTAGCCTTGGGCATAAACTCTTTTGAGAACACCATTGCTGCTTATTGTCAGCCAGTACACCTGGCCGCCGGGAACCACCAGCCACAGGGGCAACCCGCTTGTGTCTCTGCGAATATGAACTGAATTCCCATTGCTGCTCGTGATTGTGCCAATATCCCCTTCTCCACTGTAGGTGAAATTGTAAATATAGTCCCTGGTTATGAGGTTGAGCGTGTGGAGGTGGGTTCCGTTGATGGTGAACTGATACAGCTCCTGGTCCGCCGGCGATGCAATCTCGTACATATTCAGGTCACTGAGATGAGCCTTGTTTCGGCTGACTGCACGGATGCGGACGTTGCCAAGGTCTGCTACATAGAGTGTGTCATCAGGGGAGACTGCTAGAGAAGAAGGTGCTTTCAGCTTTGCATCTTTGGCATATCCACCATCACCTAGAGGAGAAACAGTAATTATTTTAATAATGTGTAATGTCTGTATTTTACCAGGATCCCTAAGCCTGCCACACTGCTTCTCTTCAGCATCATTTACAAGTCAACAAAATAGTATCTTCTTCTAATAAATTAACACCCCCCCCACTATGTAAAGTAGTGCAATTTTAAATCAGTCTTATTGAAGACAAACAATAAGATACAATTATCTCATTTACACCACTTTTGCTAACTCCCAAACCCTGCTGCTCAGGGAAATATTACATGGTAAAATGTGAAAGAAAAAGAAATTGCAACAGCTGAAGTTTCATTCCCTACTTTTTGTCTGTTAGCCTGTAGTAAAAGTAGAACACTGATTTAAATAAAACAAAGAGAAAACAAAAATTCAGCTAAAATGACAATGAAGCAAAGATTAATTTATACTTATTAAAACCTCAACACTGTAGGAAAATAAATGAAAATAATAGCCAAAAAGTACTTTGAAAAAACATCCCCTTCGATATCACTTGGTAATTTAGATAGTTCATATATTTTAAGGTTAAAGGAGGACATTTTTCATCATCATGGGCCTGACATGCATATCAAAATGATTTTGCATGAGCAGGATTTTCTACAACTAGCAAGAAAGCGTACTAAACCTCACTCTTAGGGAGAAGCCCATTACTGTTTGCACTGCTCCCCTTCTCCTGGCTGAAAAATTAGATTTGAGGGAGATTTTGAGCAAAGCCCATGCTGCCTTGGAAATGCACAAATTAGCGGGTCTTTTTGACAAGCTGGCCATGCCTTTCACCAACTCAGCACTGGCACAGTCATTAGATTTGCCACAATTTTTCATTTTTCAGCACTGAGGGCAGATTCTTCATCCTCTTTCCTATTTGAATAAGATCCTATTTAGCACAGTTCTAGCATATCTGCAACTGGAGCTAGCATCCCTTAGAAATGCATGTGATACTTTGATTATCATTACAACACTGCGTCAGCAGCCCACCTCCTCTGCAAGACAATTTACATTTTTTCCTCTCCATTCCTGACACATTTAATGTTAGTAATTAACCTTTTATTTGAAAGGGGAGTTCCTAAGAATTATGATGACATTACGGAGCTGAACAAAACGATTCTTAGAGATGACACGGTAACATACCGCACTTGTCTGCGTGCCCCATTATGAAACAGGTTTTTATGGGAAAAAAAAAAAGTCACAGTTTGGTTTGCCTCCCCAGGTGTGTGTGCAGGGGAGTGCAGCTCTGTCGCTGAGAACAGCGAGGGGCGCAGTGTGGGCTTGGTGTTGCCCCTGCGACTTGAAACCACACAAGAAAGGAGAAATTTTGAACATTACGTGTTTGCATTGCTTTGCTGACCATGTAGCATGATTCAGGTGCTGAGAAGTCCTAAATTTCTGTTTTTCATTGGATGTGAAACATTCTGGTTACCATCCTCAGTGAAAAGACTTATCTGACTCATCAGCCTCAAGCTGCAACGTGCAAGCTGCCTCAGGGCTGGTACCATCCTAAACAAGAGCAGACAAAACTGACGCAGAAAGGCAGGCTCAGAGCTAGGGTGGAGCAGCATGCAACCTCTGTATCGAAACAGCTAAGGTCACCCTGAGGTTCCTCCAGCGTCAACTGCGGCAAGACTCACATCTCTGCATCCAATGGATTAAACAAAGCCGTGAAGGTTAGCTAACAAGGTTTGCAGCTTGCCAAGGAAACTCAGTCTCTGCTCATCTGTCCTTCCCCTTGCTATGCTGGTAATTTGCAACCATGCCCGGGGATCTGAACAGACCAGCGACAGGAAATAACTAGCGTTGCCTCACCTGAGAAACAGTCACAATTAGGATCAATCTTGCAGTCACAGTCTGACGGGGCTCCAGCAATGACAGAGATCTCACCATTGGTTGTGACCTGTTGTATACGGTTGATCTTTCTTTCATCTGTTTCTGCAATGTACAGTATGCCACTGTGAGACACAGCGATCGCTCTGGCTGACTCCAGGGTTGAATGGATGGCCACCTTGCTGACGATGAAGTGATCGATGCCTGGCACCTGGCAGTGAATAGGGCGCCCCGCAATAATCCGCACGCGCCTGTTCTCAGAGATCTGCAGAACGATGTTGTTGTCCAGGACATAGAGTGAATTGTCTAGTGGGTTCACTGCGAGGTCTGTTGGCCACTCTAACCGCACCTGGAGAAAAAAATTAAGGGGAAGGCAGAGAAGCAAAAGAAAAAAGAATGGTTAAGTCACTAAAGCAGTTCTACTCAATGACCTCTGATCATCACGATATCAAGGCATTCAGGTGGATTCATCCAGCGCTGCTTCACTAGTATATACCTTTAATTTTGCGTGGCTGAAGAAGCTTTAATAAGCACACTCTTTTGTAAGGTCCAAAACCACTGTGAGACAAAACTTGATTTCAAAAGTAATTAGCATCCTCTGAAAGGAATTTGCACAAGTTCATTAAGGTGGGAACTTTATTATACTTATATGCTCAGGCAAATAAAAACACACGCTTCACGTCGGGCAACATCAGCCAGAAGATTTTCCAGGTCTGAATGTTATTGTATCAAGGTTGCAGTCAACACTGGCAGAGTGAAAAACAGCTAGAGGTTGTCAGTATTTTAACACTTTTCTGGACTGGGTCACAACAGCTCAGGAGGCTGGTCCCCCTCCCCAGCTAATGGTCAATGCAGGATTTGGGCTGCAGCTTGTCTATGGAAAGATCAGAAAATGACTGAACCACAGAGATCGTAAGACAGTCTATTTTTCTTTGTCTCAAGCTGCTTTGCTTGTTGTCCTTTGTGAAGAGAGGACTGCTTTTAGTTGAGAGGGATTTTTCTGAACTACGCACTTAAATTGTCACAAGAAAATAAATACCTGGCTAAAATGTAATGGTTTTCATATGCAGTTATCACAGAAGCTTCTATTATTTCATTTACTGATTTTGTTGCTGTTCTGGTTTATTTTTCCACTGCACTAATTAAAAGATCTATGAATTTAGAGACCACAGATGCTGACACAATGGTCAACACTGAGGAATAACATATGGTGGAGAGCGTGGCCATCCTGAGCCACCTGCTCGCCTCGGGTCAGCTCAGGCACCCGGCTGAAGGCCAAGTTTCTTCAGTTCTCAAGTACCAGTATTTCCTGAATAATCTCATTTCCAGAAGTACACTTCTGGTTTGATAATTGATGTTTTAATACAACGAGGGCATTGTGGCTACTCTCTCTCGCCCTGCGTGGTTATCTGGCGCACCACACAATTAAGAAAGCTCACTGAATAATCGAAGTCCTCCCTGTGCTCAGTTCCTTTTAGTAGACCGCACAACAACTGGCATGCAAGAGTAATGCTGTTGGGTTCAAGATCTCTTCTAGACCAGGTGGCAGAGTCATTCCAAATGATGATGAACGTGGTGAAACAGTTGGAAACAGATTCCAGTCATAAAGGTGGTGATTTCTGTGGATGCGAGTGACAGCGTCTGGCTGCTACCAGGATGGGTTAGGGCTGATTTAAACATAGCTGTGAGCTTATGCTGTCTTCTTTGCAACTGAGATTTCACCAAGAAGCTGAACAAAACTATTTAGGTAGCATAAAACGTCTAAAAGACTACCTTCGTGAAACTTTGAAAAAAACATATTCGCAATATACCTGTAACACAGAACGTTTCATTGCTTTATCAAAGTAAACGGATTATTTTTAATAGAAAACATACACCATGAACCTTAGCACCTCCTTCACAGACCGCTCTAGTGTTAAGATGATCTTTGCTTAACCATAACTAGACTGTGAGTGATAAAAACTGACAGTCTTTGCCATAATGACACTCCTTAGCATCTGCCACATCTTAGTAGCTGGCTTTACTTTGTGGGCCAGCCAGGTTCTTTGCCCCAGAGAACAATCCGAATTCCTCCCACTGAGGAAGCGTTATCTGGAGTCTCTGCAGATATACAGGGACCGATCTGGGCCAAAACAACTTTTTTTTGTGGTTGATTTGAGGCTGGTTCTGTTTATTGAGATAGAGGAAGCTTTTATGTAACCGTTCATATCCCTTACAAGAATGTCCCTAACACCTAAGAAGAGGCTAGATTCTTAACAGGTATAATTAGCTGTAAGCACATTTATTTTGATACTGATCACATAATAAGCATAGCTGCATTATGACAAAAATAAATAAAATTTTAACTGGGGACATTTGAACAATTTTCTTTACTAAACCCGACCTCTGTTGCCTTGCCCACTGCAAAACTAACAGAAGGTATGGCTGTAGCTTCTAATTCCTGGGTTTGAAGCCATCTTGGGTGTATTCATAGGCTAATCCCAGGTGAGATGATTAAAGCTAGCATGTACACGTCTGGAGACTGCAGCACAGGTAACAGCTGCTACTCACCGCATGCTTACGCTAGTGCAACTAAAGGGGAAAAAAAGGCCAAATAGGACAATGAAAAACAAACCAAAACCAAACAAAACCCCAACCATTCGCTGAGAAAGAATCCCAAAGATTTAGACAAAATCTGCATTGCTCTTGTCAGGACGAGGCTTCATTGCAGCTAAAACTGCTGTAAGTCAGGGCTGGTGCAGTCCCAGCCCAGCTCCCCAGGCAGCTCTGCTCCCCTGCAGCAGGGCTGGTGCAGTGAGCTGGTTCGGGACACTTCACTGGCTCAAAACTAATCACCTCAATCAGCTTAAGCTGAAGTGTAACTGCACCCTCAGGTTGACTGTTACCTTGAAAAGTCACTGGTGGTTTCCTTTCTTTTAAGGCAAGCTGCCCTCTGGCAGCTTTCTGTGGCCAAACCATCAGTTGTGCTTCATTCAAATCCAATAAACATATTACAGAGAAGGACTTCAATTCTCATCTGATATGACTGGGGTCATTAAAAAGTTTTTCCAGACAAAACGCTCAGTTAGGGTTAGAATATTAAGTCAGTTAATGTACTTTTTAATCTCAAGCGATATGTCATAAGCCCTGCAAATACTCCTCTCCCACACATGTATGTTTTTCTTATGACTCAAAACTGGGACAATTGCAAGTGGTATTTCTGATATTTGATGGGTTGTGGTTTTTTTCCAAGCAACGTGCAGAAGCGTCACTGCAGAATATCCCATTATAAACAAGCCGACAAGGCTTGTTCGGTAGAAGGCAGGATCTTACACTCTTCACGCACCCCAACTGCCAGGTGACAGCCTTGGTGTGGTTCACTGGAGACTGAGTATATTTTGCAATGGAGATCACGGCAGAAACAAATGAACCCTTGAGCCATGAGGCTTTTTGCGTGTAAGTATTAACATGTCCAGTTTTCCGGGAATTCTGCATTTAACTGTCAACACCAAGGCTCTAGCTATATCTGATAATCAATGTCTGGTTTGAGAAGTGTAAAATTAACACCTACTGGTCTGGCTCTCTAATATAACTTTTCATGTCAAGTGTTTTGGAAACACAAAGTGCATTAAGATGGTTTCAGTTTAAATGAATTTTGGATGAGAGATCTACATTTAGGTAACTGCATAACGACATTTTGGGGTGTTTGTTTCTTTCTTCCAAATATACTCATGTACTTGTGTATATATGTGTGTGTGTGTGTGTGTGTGTGTGTGTGTGCATACATATATATTTGTGTATAGTTTTGAAAACTCTTTACATGTTTTCCCCATAGCAAAAGTACAAGGTTTACAGCTAAATAATGCGGGTTTTTTGCAAAGCAGCACTGGTACGAAAGCATGCACTCATATGCTTCTTAAACATATACAGAGAAGCACACACATGTAAGTGTGAGCTTGTGAAGAATATTGTTTTATTTTTGGTTTTGATCATATGGCTAAGATTTTCTGCATGTTTTGCGTGGCATTTTATGGTTGCGGCATTTTTGGTGTTATTTTAAAGAAATCAAATCAAACAAATTGTACTGTTCCTATCAAAGCAAGAAAAATAACAAGGAGAAAAATTATCCTGGTCTATAGATGCAAATTTCATGAGCTTAACTGTTTGGGGCGCAAGGGGAAATTTCACTGGGATAAGTTTAATTTATCATGAATTAAAAGAAGCTGCATAAATCCACAAAAAGCCTTCACCATTGCTTTGATTTCTTGCCATGCACTGCTTGTGTATTTTGACTCAATTTCATGTAGCAGCATGAAATTCATGCCAAAATTTTTCTGATAGTCCTGAGTGATGCATTACTTCTTATCTGTACTGCTCAGCCTTGAGCTCTTCTATTTATGCTAACTTTGTCTTTATTCAGCTGTACGATACGCATTCACAAACCTGATCAGACCCTCGCCCACATTTCTCTTTTCCTGTTACTTCATGTTTTCACTTCCTCCTATTCGTACTCACTGCAGCTGTTGTTTCCAGTCCAAACCATTTTTACTCACCACAATGCCCTTCTAAGTGCTGTTTTTCTCTCGTTCTGCCTAAACCCTTCTCTCCAACTCCTTCTGTGCGAGGAACGGCTCGGAGGAAGGGCTCGCAGGGGCGGTCGGTTGGTAACGAGTGTGTAGTTTACACGGCCAGAGGAGACCCGTTCTGCCTCCCTCAACTTTTTACAAGATGTCTCACTACGTGTATTTCTCTCTATTTTCTCCCAGTTGACAACCACAGATATTTTCTCACCATTTTCTGTCAGTTTGCCCCAGCTGCTAGGATCTCGCTTTTGTTGACACGGACGCGGTCAGCTCCTCTCGGCAGCCTAGCTTCTTCCTGAACAGCACGCAGAGAGCGAATTCAGCTCGCCGCGGTCTCACGCCGGCAGGACGCTTCCTTGCGGTTGCGTTACAGCCTTCCTCTCACTTCGAAAGAAGCCTTTGCTTCTCATGGTCCTGATGCTGAGCTTTATAAAATTCAGACTTGGCCAGCGCAGCTGGAACAGTCCCTGCTGTAAGCTTTACAAATGTTGCACTCCCTGCATTCATTGTTGCCCAGTGCAAAACCCAAACAAATGAGTCTTGGATACGGAAATTAGAGGGCCTTTCTGAATGAAACCCCCTTCCTTTGAAAGGAGCCTGGCAGCCTACCTACCCCTGTTCTCCATCCCTGGAGGAGGAGCAGCTGAGGCACGTTTACAGATGCAACTCAGAGGTCTGAGGCCACTAGTCCTTGGGATTGCAGCTTGCGTAGTCTCCTCGCCAACCCGCTTTTACCATGAATTATTTCCAGTGGATGTGAAATCTGGCACAGGAATGCAAAATGGCA